GTTCAACTTTGACATTGTAATTCTTCAGAAAAACATCGTTGTCCAGGTCCTGATCATTCAATATCAACTCAATGCGCTCTTTTCGCAATTTTGGCTCCATTGCTGCACCCTGAAAAACCGATTTACATAGCGTTTGTGCAAGCCCATCAATGGCTACATTGGACCGATAATGGCACATTAGCAGTCTTCACACATTTCCTTGAAATAGTTCCCTGTAACTAGAGCTCTCGCCTTTTTTTTTTCGCTTCTCTTTTACTCCGCTTGGTCTTTCCCTGTTTTTTCTCCTTCTCTCACATGTCCGTGCTGCAAATTAATTACGTAGCTGTTCAGTACATGGTGAATAAGAAGAGGCTGTACTGATGATTCCCGCTCCTACCCACATGCATAGTCCGGCCTGTGTTTCCAGTAAATAATTTTTTCAGATTCCACATTCACTTACAACTTCTTTTTCGCCCACGACATAGCGATTCTCTTAAAATTCAGCAAAATTCAAACCTCCACGTTAAACTCACCCGAATCAATTTGGCTTTCTGTGACTCATCCAGCTCTCTCTTCACTTTCTGCGGTTTAGCGGCAACGGTAAGAAGCTCCATTGGCACAAAAATTTTTCTGCTGCGTGGGCCAATCTGTATTACTGGTAAGTATGGGAAGTGCAATCTGATGTCTGAAAAAAATTTTTATGAAATTAATTCGAGATTTGAAGCGACAAAACGAAAGCCCGGTTGATTGACCTCTTCCACAAGTAATCCTCTGTTTCTTCGACTTCCTCTACTATCACTTTAATCTCACACGTCCAAGCGGCCGCAGTCTTGTACAGCTCTAGTAACTTCCAGTAATCCCCTTTTTACCCGTGATGATGGATGATAAGAATGGAAGAACTGCTGGCAAAAGAGATGCGCGACCCACCTCAACAAAGTTGTCAAAGGCAAGAAGCAGACGATGCTGCACCGATCATAGTCCTGTTATATCGGTGGTACGTAGATCTGGTAGCTAAAACTATAAAAAAATAACATAATACCTTTAAAACGGGCGAAGTACTCTTCCACCGTAACTTCTTGACCCGGGTC